AAACAATCTCCCTCATGATCTTACTTCCAGATAGAATAATTACATGACACAGTTCTGGCCAATAAGGCATAAATTGATGTCTATTTATGCTTTATTAAGCCAAATAAGAAGATAAATAAATCCTCCCTTCTTCCTGCTTTTAACAGGGACTCAAAGCAGAAACTGCAGTAGAAAACCTGAGGTTCTGAAGGAAGGGCAAAGTGAGAGGCAGAGATATCAGCTTCCATACTGCAGAGCACTGAACCAAGGCCAGCAACCTCCTACCTCCTGAGTTCTTGTTACATAAGAGGGACACGTCCCGTTTGTCTGGACTTCCATAATCAAGCGATTAACATCTTGTAGCTGAACACACTCCTGCTGCTGCTGCTGCTAAGTCGCTTCAGTCGTGTCCGACTCTGTGCAACCCCATAGACGGCAGCCCACCAGGCTCCGCCGTCCCTGGGATTCTCCAGGCAAGAACACTGGAGTGGGTTGCCATTTCCTTCTCCAATGCATGAAAGTGAAAAGGGAAAGTGAAGTTGCTCAGTCATGTCCGACCCTTAGAGACCCCATGGACTGCAGCCTACCAGGCTCCTCCATCCATGGGATTTCCCAGACAAGAATACTGGAGTGGGGTGCCATTGCCTTCTCCAGAACACACTCCTAACTAGATCTAAAAACGCAAAAGTGGTTTCCCCTGCTTATGTGCAGGGAATACGTTCAAAGACCCTTGTAGATGCCTAAAACTGTGGATAATACTGAACTCTATATATGTTTTTTCCCATACGTACATATCAATGATTAAGTTTAATTTATAAATGAGGAATAATAGGAAATTAATAACAACATTCATTGGATCATAGAGATCATAGAGAAAGCAAGGGAATTCCAGAAAAACATCTACTTCTGCTAAGTTGACTATGCTAAAACCTATGTATGGATCACAACAAACTGTGGAAAATTCTTAAAGAGATGGGAATACCAGACCACCTTACCTGTCTCCTGAGAAACTTGTATGCAGGTCAAGAAGCAATAGTTAAAACCAGACATGGAACACGGATTGGTTCCAAATTGGGAAAGGGGTACGTCAAAGCTGTATATTGTCACCCTGCTTATTTAACTTCTGAGGAGAATACATCATGCACAATGCCAGGCTGGATGAATCACAGGCTGGAATCAAGATTGTCAGGAGAAATATCAACAACCTCAGATATACAGATGATACCACTCTAATGGCAGAAAACAAAGAGGAACTAAAGAGCCTCTTGATGAGGGTCAAAGAGGTGAGTGAAAAAGCTGGCTTAAAGTTCAACATTCAAAAATTAAGATCATGGCAACCAGTCCCATCGCTTCATGGCAAACAGAAGGGAAAAAAATGGAAACAGTGACAGATTTTACTTTCTTGGGCTCCAAAATCACTGCAGATGGTGACTGCAACCATGAAATTAAGACATTTGCTCCTTGACAGGAAAGCTACGACAAATCTAGAGAGAGTATTAAAAAGCAGATATCACTTTGCTGACAAAGATCAGTATAGATCACAGCTATGGTTTTTCCAGTAGTCATGTACAGATGTGAGAGTTGGACTATAGAGAAGGCTGAGCACCATAGAATTGACACCTTCAATTTGTGGTGCTGGAGAAGACTCTTGAAGAGTCCCTTGGACTGCAAGGAGATCAAACCAGTCAATTCTAAAGGAAATCAACCCTAAATATTTATTGGAAGGATTGTCACTGAAGCTGAAGCTCCAATAGTTCGGCCACTTGATGCAAAGAGTCGACTCATTGGAAAAGACCCTGATGTTGGGAAAGATTGAGGGTAGGAGGAGAAAGGGATGACAGAGGTTGAGATGGTTGTAGAGTATCACTGATTTAATGAACATGAGTTTAAGCAAACTCTGGGAGATAGTGAAAGACAGGGAAGCCTGGTGTCCTTCAATCCATGGGGTGTCACAAAGTGTCATATATGAGTGACTAAACATCAACAACAAACAATAAAATAATAATACACTAATAAATGCTATGTGAGCATGGTTTCTTTTTTCTCCCTCTCCCTGCAACTATCTGACTGTATAAATTTAGTGCCTTTTTCATTTTAACTAAGCACCTACCACACTCTGTGGCTGTGACTTTTGTAGTTTGAGGTGCAATAGCAAAACTAGCATAAATTTCTTTTTCCTTGTTCACAGTTTCACAGACAGGAGATGGGGTCTTACCGTAGACTTTAGCAACTCTAGCCTAGGACTTCTTTTCTTTTCTCATTGAGAATTTTCACCTTTCAGTTAAAGGAAGCACTTTACAACTCCTCTTTGGCAAATCCGAATTGCAAGCATCACTACCCTTGCACTTAGGGTGTCATTATGAAGTAAAGGAAGGGTTGCTTGAACAAAAACATCGCGATACCAGTTGATCTGATACTGAGGTGGCTACTAAGTAACAGGTAAGAGACTCCAGACAAAGGGAAGATTTACGTCCTGCAAGGGACAGAGCAGATTGGCGCGAGATTTCATCACGTTACTCAGAAGTTGTATAATTTATCAATAACACACAGCTTACTTCTGAAATTTTATGTTTAAAATTTTCATACCATGATTGACTGTGGGTAACTGAAACCTTGGAAAGGGAAACCACAGGTAAGAGGAGGACAACTATATGTTCCTGTTGGAACTTCAGCATGCACCTAAGAGGGTTACAGGACCCGAGAAATACTCAAGAGAAGAAATCCATTGAATTTTGTTTACTATCATCTCCTAAATACATCTGATAGAGCCCTTTTCTTCTTATATTAACTATTACTATCCCACAGAACTATAGTTCCCTGTTTTGTTGTTTAGCTGCTAAGTCGTGTCCAACTCTCTTGCGGCCCCATGGACTGTAGCCCTCTTGGCTCCTCTGTCCACGGGATTTCCAAGGCAAGAATACTGGAGTGGGTTGCCATTTCCTACTTCAGGGGATCTTTCCAACTCAGGAATTGAACCCGAATCTCCTGCATTGGCAGGCAGATTTTTTGCCACTGAGCCACCAGGGAAGCCCATGGTTCTGTACACCCTTATGGTTCAAAAAGTGTGATCCCTAGACCAGATTCCTCAATATTCATCACCTGGAAACTTGTTAAATTCACATCGTAGGCCCCACCCCAGAATCACTTTAACAAGATGACCAGGTGGCTGGTATGACATTAAAGTTTGAGAAGCACTGCTTTGGGGAACACCGTTTAGAGGTGAAAGTATGACTAAATTTAACATCTTTATGTGACTCATTATTTCAAGACATCTATTGTTATTGTCCCCGAATGCCTATTTCATTAATAATCACACCTATTTCTTTCTGACTGCTTTGTGCAAGGCACTATTCTAAGTACTTATGTAATCCTCAACCCAATCCAAAGAGGCAGGCACTGTTATAATCTTCATTTTATAGATGAGATTATTGAGGCTCAGAGAAGTTAAGTAGCCTATCCAAGGTCACACAGATATTAGGCGGCAGAATCCTTGGTTTAAGGAATTAAGGATCACCAAATATACTCTCCATGTTTCCATGTACTTTCTTGCCTTGTGTACTTTACACAAGGATTTCTTTCTTCCTACAGTGATCTCCCACACACATACCTAGTGAAAAGATCTCAGGGACTTCCCTGATGGTCCAGTGGTTAAGAATCTGCCTTTTAATGCAGGAGACTCAGATTTGATCCCTAATTGAGGAACGAAGACTCCGCATGGCAAGGGGTGACAAGGCCCATGCACTGCAACTACTGAGCCTGCGCTCTAGAGCCCATGCCACAGTGGGGATCCCTCATGCCGCAGCGAAGACCTGACACAGTCAAAGAAATGAGTACATATTAAAAAAACCAAAAAAGCTCTCAGTTTAAAAAGTTCATTCCTCCAGGAAACTTCTCGGGCCCCTCTCCGCCAAACCAGGTCAGGTTCCCTACTATACATCTCCCAGGCACAAGTTTTTCCTTCTTACTTATCAGCTTTTGGAATTATTTACATTTCTGTGATTGTATGGTTAGCAGTGTTCGTCGCTCAGTCGTGTCCAACTCTCTGTGACCCCACGAACTATAGCCCGCCAAACTCCTCTGTCCATGGGATTCTCCAGGCAAAAATACTGGAGTGGATCGCCATTCCCTTCTCCAGAGGATCTTCCTGACCTAGGGATCGAACTCAGGTCTCCTGCATTGCAGGCAGCTTCTTTACCATCTGAGGTACAGGGAAGACCTATGGTTAGTGTATATCTTTAGCTAAAAAACTGAGCTTCATGTGGACTTGAAGTGTGTCCTCTGTGACTGCCATAGGCCGGCAGAAGCTGTAGCCTGGATGCAAAGTATTTGATTTTATATCAGAAGACTTGGATTTGAGTTCTTGTTCCTCTACTTATTAGTTTTCTAAATGTTAAGCAGTCAAACCATCTTAGATCCATAAATTCTCAGCTCTGTTAAGTGGGGATAATAACACCTGGGCTTCCCTGGTGGCTCAGTGGTCTGCCTGCCAGTACAAGAGATATGGGCTTGAGCCCTGGGTTGGGAAGATCCCTTGTAGAAGGGAATGGCAACCCACTCCAGTATTCTTGCCTGGGTAACCCTATGGACAGAGGAGCCTGGTGGGCTACAGCCCATAGGGTCACAAAAGAGTTGGATATGACTTAGCAAGTAAACAACAAAAACAATAATGCCTTACAAGATTGATAAAAGAATTAAAATGAGGATTTTGAAAGAAGTGTATAGTCTACATAAACATCCGAAAAATATGAGAGAGTATTTGCTCCATAGTGATTAAGATTCTGGGTTGTATTTAAAGTTCTAATGTGCAGTCAGACACCTGAGTTAATTTGCTAACTCATAATATTTACCATCCAGACAGCTGATTTTGCCATCCATCATTTGCTAAATTTTTTTTCATGTATTTTTTAAACTGCATTCATATGTAATTTATTATGTATCTAAGTCGTGTATATACTGTATGATTTTATATTTTGCTCATTATCTCTTATCAGAGCCCTTTGCACATAGAAATTCAACAGATATTAATATAATCTACATTTATTTGGTGAGTATCACATATTTGTTGTACGGAAAGTACCTTAAGTAAGAAAAGTAAGAATGAAAAGTAGTGCACATAATAATTACTGTCATCATACATGTGAATGTTCAGATCTGCTACATTTTTCAAATCACTTAAACCAAGATAAACTTCAGAAATGAAACCCCAGCAGGGACAATTAAACAATATTTGGAATGAAATCATTTGGCCTAATTTTCATAACCACAGATTTCAAGGAATACCACCATCCATGCCAGGTGTGCCAGACAATCCCATTGTCTGTTTTAGCGGTGTAGGGACCCTTGTGGTATAAACCATTCAGGTTTGCAGAGTGACACCTAGTGGGAGGAAAAATAAACACAAAGCAATCAGACTAGAAAAATATCCTTTGAAACCCTTCTTTTGTGAGGAAATGGCTGAAAACATTTTAACTATGAATTTGGCCATTTTTTCTTTTTCTTTTTTTGGCTATCCCTTGTGGCTTATGGGGTTTTAATTCCCCAACCAGGGACTGAACCCACGCCCTTGGGAGTGATTGCACAGTCCTAACCACTGGACCGCCAGGGAGTTCCCTCTGCCGTTTTCGGATAAGAGAATATTTAGCAGATTCCAAAAGCCAAGAGATTTCTACAACATGAGTTTTTTAAACTGGTGGGTTTTAGTACCATAACAACTCTCAGGATAAAACCCAGGCCACTTATAGAGTATTCATTCATTTATATTTGGCTGCACCTAATCTTAGTTGCAACATGCAGAATCTTTAATTTTCATTGCAGCAATGCAAACTCTTAGTTGCAGCATGTGGGATCTAGTTCCCTGACCAGAGACCGAACCCAGGGCCCCCTGCATTGGGAGCCCGAAGTTTTAGCCTCTGGACCACCAGGGAAGTCCCACTTATGTTGTTTAAAAAAAAAAGTAGCTCTGTTCTTAATAGACTTTAAATGAGAAAGAAAGGAAGGAAATGAGAGAGGGGGAGAGAGGGGGAGAGAGGCAAGAAGGAAGGAAGAAAGAAAAGCAAACAAAAAAGCATGACCTGGTAAGCCTGAGCCTTAGCAAGAGTGGTATGGGTGTGGTGTGCTGCTCCATTTGCCAGCTTCCCTGTATAATTTACACTTAAAATGTTCATCCATCTGCTGCCAAGAATTTGCTTTCATAATTCCAATTCCCTTCCTCCCTCTCGAGTTACCAGTATATCAATTATTTTAACCTCAAAGGGGTAAAGAAACAAAACCAAAACCATGATTTAAAGTTTTCCAGTCATCAACTAATGATCATCTGTCTTAATTGATGAGTTTATTATTTTTACCTATATTGTTCCAACCGAGATACACTGGTTAGGTTATCATGAATTTTAAAATGTCCCCCCTTCCTCTTTGGGATCTGTAAATTTTGCTCCTAATATGGCTAAACGAAGAGTAGGTGATAATTTTCTGGGTACTATTATTAAATTAGTTACTACATATTTCTTTATTGCTACAACCAATGAAAAGATTTCAGACACTGGGACATAGAGCAACATTCAAAAGAATACTTCTGAAAATCTATGGAAAGTGCCTGAATTACTGAATCAAAGTAAGCATATAATTTACCCATCATTGTTGAGTGGTTGACCTGCCTCACTTACCAGCCCTCCTAATTCTTTCCTGCTAACTGTCCCCACAGTCCTCCTAATTTAAATTGATGTACCTAATCAAAACCATGTATGCTAAATCTGCAAGTGTTAAGAGCCTTTTATACTTTTAAAACTGCATGGAAATAACAGCAAAAGAGAAAATATTCTAGATTGAGCCTCCCAAATACATATTTTGACATATTCTATCTTCCTTCCTAGAGATATCCACTACATATATTATTTTTCTATTTAGTCTGTGATTTGAATCCTGTTAAAAGCTGACTCTGGTCAACATAGCAAACCTTAGCAATTCTAAGACCACTTTCCCCAGCATCTTTCAGGTTCCTAGCCTCCTGAACTTGAGGCTAGGTTGGGAGATGGTTGGGGCTCCCTTGGTGAAGAAGTAGCCTTGTGCACACACATGAGATGCTACACTGGTAAAGAAGAGAAGACATCGACACTCAATGATTGCTTTGCTATGATGAGAAGGAATGCCTAATAGGTGGGTAAAACTTAGAAATGCCAAGATTTTATGTAAATTGAAAGAACTATGGGACAGTAAAAAAAATAAGAACAAAACAAGAATAAGGAGGAAGAGGATGATGGAGTTAAACCACAGCAGAAGCAGGCATGGAAGAAGTAGCACTGAACTGCTGGAACAATTGACTTTCTCTTCAGCTTTTCTGACTTTATACCTGCACAATCACCTCTAACTCCAAGGATAATGGAGTTTCCTTGGGTGGCTCCAGCAACTGAATTGCCTTTCTTTGTCTTCCCTGAACTCCTATCTTTAAAGTCAAGTCAATCATTTATTATTCCACATCGAACTGTGTGCCACTTATCATTTAAATGGGTAGGTACTTGGTTTTGATCTCCTGCTGATATTAACCAAAGTGGTTGTTATTTCCATGTATGGAATTCTGCTATATTAAGGGGTGCTTGAGACTTTGTGAATTATAGACAAGTTTTATATAATGTTGATAATTCCTACATATGCTAACTTAGAGGGAAAGGGGACGAAAAAGGAGGATAAAGAGAAGGTGATAAATATGGTTTTAAAGAGAACAAGAAAACCACAAGGGAAAAAGATCATCACCACCTTCGAATAGCTAAGTAGGAAAGATAAATTTGGTTTTCTTCCCCCTCTCACTGCTGTGTATGTTCCACTTCCTTTACAAATGACCAAAATTTAAATGGACTCAGACTTTGAAAAAAGCAAAATCCAGATAAAATAGCGTTTATACAACTACTTAGATTCAACTTGATATTCCACACTATATACAGCTAATTGTACCTCCATAGAATCTATGACTCTAAAATCAGCACATCTTGCTTTTCGGCCGGAACTGCCATCTTCCAGTAATTTGCTAAAATGACCAACACAAAGGGAAAGAGAAGGGGCACCCACTACATGTTCTCTAGGCCTTTTATAAAACATGGAGTTGTTCCTTTGGCCACATACATGCGAATCTACAAGAAGGGAGATATTGTAGATATCAAGGGAATGGGTACTGTTCAAAAAGGAATGCCCCACAAATGTTACCATGGCAAAACTGGGAGAGTCTACAATGTTACCCAGCATGCTGTTGGCATCATTGTAAACAAACAAGTTAAGGGCAAGATACTTGCCAAGAGAATTAATGTGCGTATGGAGCATATTAAGCACTCTAAGAGCCGAGATAGCTTCCTAAAACGTGTGAAGGAAAATGATCAGAAAAAGAAGGAAGCCAAAGAGAAAGGGGCTTGGGTTCAGCTGAAGCGCCAGCCTGCTCCACCCAGAGAAGCACACTTTGTGAGGACCAATGGAAAGGAACCTGAACTGTTGGAACCCATTCCCTATGAATTCATGGCCTGAAGGGTGTAAAAATAAAGACCTGGACTGTACAAATGTTTCTCTTAATTGAGTAGAGGTGTTGTGTCCAAATTCAGTGGGTGATGTCTTTTCAAATTTAGTGTTTTTTCTTCCTTAAAGATGTAAGATAGTTTGTTGTTCAGTATGCTCCGTTTTTTAATAAATTGACATTATTTATAAAGTAAAAAAAAATAAAATAAAATCAGCACATCTTAATAAATAAAGATGTTCATAAGGAGAATTCTCATGATTTTATGGAAAATAGACCTATGTCTGGTATACCTCCACTTAATAAGACAGAGGATTCTTTATGTCTTAAAAAGTATTTACGTAATGAAAAAATATTAAAATTTGGATTGTGGAATTTAAATGATTAGTTACATGGAAAACTCAGCACTCCAGACATACTCACAAAGGATTCTGTAATGGAATGTTTAAGTGTCCAGATATTTTGAGGTGACCCCTGTCTTCTAAAGACAAAAGGAGATGTTCATAGGCCATGTACTAAAGAAAAAAAAACAGCCCATGTACAGCCTAACAGTTGAGCACAACTGCTGTGCAGACACAGTAGGCTTGCTGCTGCTGCTAAGTCATTGAGTATCAGGTTATTTTTAAGGAAGACTGAATTTTTCCATTCCCACCTTAACTTTGTGATGACAAAAAAGGGTACTGTTTGGAAATCATCTTGGGTGAAGAATAGTGAAAGGAATGAGGAATACCTAGCCTAAAGAAGAGAAAATGTCGAGGAGCACAGTAAATATTTTCTTACCCAGCACCCAAACAGTTATGTTGAAAAAGAATACAGTTACTCTGTAACTACTGAGGGAAAAAACTGACACAGTAATAAGAAGAAAGATTTCAGGTTAATAAGAGAAAATGAAGAAAAGTTGATATAGCAGACTTCCCTGGTGGTCCAATGGTTTTATAAAACTCTGTGCTTCCAATGCTGGTGGCCAGGGTTCAATCCCTGGTCAGGGAACTAAGATCCTACAGGCCCCACAGTGCAGCACCCCCAATATTTTTTTAATACACAAAAAAAGATTAAAAAAAGAAAAACTGATTTAGTACAATCAAAAATTGGATGAATCTGCCGACAAAGTAACATTGGAGTATTCAACCAGAAGGTAGAATTAGGTTTCAGGAATGTTAGAGGAAATTTATGCATTGAGAGGAACTTGGGTTGAATAATTTTTAAAAAGTCACAGTAAATGTAAAATAGTATTACACAGAAAATTTTACAATAACATGAAAGGAGAAGGTGAAGAGCTACCTGGTTATTAGAATGTCGAAAATGCTCTATATTTGATAACTCACTCATAACTCCGTTTGCAAACCATCTTTATAAAAGCAGTAATTTGATTTTTCTCTATTTTTCTCTCTTTCAAGCTTGACTAAGGTACACAGTGAACACATCCTTAAAGCTACTTTATTACTGAAAGATTCTAATAAGGATGATTACTTAATAATACCAGTATTACAAAGCAGACCAACACTCCTGCATACGTTATAATTAATGCCCACCAGTCAGATATCATCAATGCCATTGCAACCGTGTTTATGAAACATCAAACCTGTTAAACCACCAGCCAGACTGATCCTCTTTCGCACAATTCCCTTCGTAGTTGTCGTTATCTCTGTCCCACGTGCTGAATTTCATTCTTTGGTGACTGGCCCACCATTGCATTTCAGGATGAAAATTTCCAGTAAGGGAGTCTCCAGCAGTTCCAGAATATTCCCCAATATGTAAATCATAGGAATTCTAAAGAAAAAGAGGTGATTTCCATGATCAGTTGTTACTGTTGTGTATGTATGTGTGTGTGTTCAGTCACTCAGTAGTGTCCGACTCCTTGTGACCCCATGGACTGTAGCCTGCCTGGGGTTTCTCTATTACTATTTAAAAACAGGCTTATTTAATAAACAAAAGATCAGGTTCTATTGCAGATTTTTGTTTCCCCTGACTTTGGGTTTTACACTGTATGTTTTACACATTAATTTGTGGTGATATTTATTTGAAAATGTTAGTACCTTTTCATCTCCAACTTTGAAATTTTTATATTGAGCATAACGGCTGTTTTTCTCAAAATCTGCAAGGTTGATTTTTAACGTGTAGTCTCCTAGGAAGGGGAAAAAAAAGAAATTGTAGGTTTTTTTTTTTTTTTTTTAATGTATGAGATGACATTTACTTACTGAGGCTTAAAAACAGTTTGTGGCTCTATTTTACTTAGACCATTTCCTTCTACCATGAGTCAGTTTTTGAAGAATAAACAGTGACTCCATTGTATTTACAACATGTATGTTTTATTCTGTATTTTACTTGGAAAAAGTTAGGAATGTAATATTAAAGGTAGAACATTTCTACTAGATCTATCATAGATAAGAGCCAGTATAATTCACTTGGCAAAGAACAACAGTAAGCAAGTCATTTTTCAGTACATAGATTAAAAAATGCTCAAGGCTGATGTACTGGGATGACCCGGAGGGATGGGGTGGGGAGGGAGGTGGGAGGGGGGTTCAGGATGGGGAACACATGTACACCCATGGATGATTCAGGTTAATGTACAGCCAAAAACCACTACAATATTGTAATTAGCCTCCAATTAAAATTAATTAACTAAAAAAAAAGAAATCTAACTGAATAAACAGAAGTTTTAAGAAGTTTAAAAGTTGACTGTTTTTCTTAGTTTTGGTAAGGATGTTGATCTTCAACATTAAATAATGACTGAAATAGTTAATACCATCAAGTAATCAGCTTTTCTTCATTGTCCCATCATTTGCAAATAGCAAAGACTACTCTTTCAGAAACAGAACTATTGTCAGGAACAAAAAGTTATAAATCAAACTGACAATCAGAATATATATTTGTATTCAATCCTTCTACTTTGATAAATAAAATTTCACAATGACCAGTAAGATCCGGTTTGAATTTAGAGTCTTAGCCTCCTCCCAGGTCTAAGCTGGAACATAGCAGCAGGTCATGCAGATCTGCCCCCTGGTCGGCCTGCTCTCTTGCCCTACCCCAATCTCCATCACACAGAGCAAAGGGCCTCGCCCACACTTATGGACATTCCAGACTGTACACCAAGCTCTGTTGACATCCAAAATAAAAGCTGTTTCTTCACTTCCCCTCAGCCTTAGGGGTGTACACACCAGATGTACAATTTTCCTATAGGGGGACAGATGAAGAAGAGGCATGAATAGGTTCTGGAAGCGAAGTCAAGGCTTCTTCAGTAGAGAATGCTGGACTCTATTGCCGGAGTGAGTCTAGGAGACTCTCTGACCCCACAGATTCCTTGACTCATGGAGCTCTCTAAAGTGGGATTTCAAGGAAGAGGCCACTTTAATCTGATCAATAGGTAGTAAATGTTATGTGAGTTAAGACTGTGAAGTGGACAAGAGCAGAAATACAGGCTAAATCAATGCTCCTAAAAAGTACTTTGCATTATAGAAGAGGTTTAGGCTTTTAGGTAACCATCTAAATATCTCTTTGGTCAATTAGTAAATAAAAATTCAATTTTGGATCATTTCTAAATTAGCTTTATTACAAACACTTCCAGCCAAAATTTATATAATGGGGATAAAGCTATTTTAAAGAGGCAACTCCTTAGCTTTTAGTTTAGTTCAGTTGCTCAGTTGTGTCCAACTCTTTGCGATCCCATGGACTGCAGCATGCCAGGTCTCCCTGCCCATCACCAACTCCCGGAGCTTATTCAAACTCATGCCCATTGAGTTCATGATGCCATCCAACCATCTCATCCTCTGTTGTCCCCTTCTCCTCCTGCCCTCAATCTTTCCCAGCATCAGGGAGTCAGCTCTTCCCATCAGGTGGCCAAAGTACGGGAGCTTCAGCTTCAGCATCAGTCCTTCCAATGAACACCCAGGACTGATCTCCTTTAGGATTGATTGGTTGGATCTCCTTGCAGTCCAAGGGACTCTCAAGAGTCTTCTCCAACACCACAGTTCAAAAGCATCAATTCTGCAGCGCTTAGCTTTATTTATAGTATAACTCTCACAACCATACATGACTACTGGAAAAAACCATAGCCTTAACAAGACGGACCTTTGTTGGCAAAGTAATGTCTCTGCTTTTTAATATGCTGTCTAGGTTGGTCATAACTTTCCTTCCAAGGAGTAAGCGTCTTTTAATTTCATGGCTGCAGTCACCATCTGCAGTGATTTTGGA